AGCGTATGGTTCTCTCTTGTCAATGAAGGCATCGGTGGGGCCGGTCTGCTTTATTACGGGTGCTCTTTGAGCCAAGTGACATTTGAAAGCCTTGTAAGGGGGATCAAGTGGCAGGGCAAGCCTGAAAGGAAATTTTCCACCTATGGTCCCGCGAGAGAGAGTAGGGAAAGCAAACCCTAAAATGACTGGCGGGTTTAAAGTCCACATAGAGAGGCTTGGTGTAGACAACTACATCAATTGGAGTCGCAAGATCAAGTTTTTGCTGACTTCCAAGGATCTATGGAATGGAGTGACGAATCCCGGACAGCACGCATCTCAATCAACAAAAGCGTTGTCCATCATAGGGCTGAATGTTGAGGACCATCATTTGGGGACGATTGAGGCGTGCAAGACCGCAAAGGAGGCTTGGGATCTCCTTGAGACGACCTACAAGAGCAAGTAAGAGCTAGGAGAGAAACTATCCAAGACATTTGTTCAAAATTGTTGAAAAAACTTTTGATTAAATTGATGTAGGCTGGAGCTAGATCGCATTGATTTGGAGCCCATGAAATTTTGGAACACAAAAGAGCTATGTTGAAGCGCAATCCACCGTATTAGAGCAAAACATTTACACGTTGGAGCACATTAGGACCATAACCATGCATCTACCACACTTTACTTTCTCACCATTACCATGCTCCTCCCACTGGCACTTTCCAAATAGCTTTTATCAAAACATTTGATGGCTCAAAAATGGTGCACCGCTTTACTATATATCAGTCTTTTTCACGTTTTAGCAGCTTTTGGACCATTATATCGTTTCCTTCCATCAAATAATATAGTTATCGGTAATTCCAAGCGTCATGAGCTTTGCCCCAAGCGCTAGTCCAAGTCGTATTACTCACAGCGTTTGAAGTAGCGCCAACCATGCCACCAAGAAAAGAGTTTTGAACGAACGGTGGCTTACCATCCGAGCACGAGGAGCAACCCCAGCGGCAACCTCAGCGGCAGTCCCACCAGCGTCGTCCCCACCGGCGTCCCCACCAACCTCAGCGCCAACCCCGGCAACCCCAGCCCCAACCCCAGCAGCCACAGGATCAGCCACAGGAGCCACAGGAGCACCAGCACTCCCAGCAACCCCACCCCCACCACCCCCACCACGCCCCAACCCTCCAAGGTCTCGTCCGCCCTCCTCTCGCGCCATCGCGGCACGAGACTCATCCTCACCATGAGCCCTCGTCTCGGATTCGTGGCGCCTGGCACGACGAGCGTACGCCCTAGTAATCTCAATGTTAGAATGTTGCTTGAGCGACGCCGCACTCTCTCTCACCATTTTTAAAACCTCCTTCAGAGGTACACTCCCTTCCAACCTCCCGGTCTTTTGATATGTATCTGAAATGCTTCAACTGCCGCAACAATCTTATTCCACTCAAAAGCTAGCTCAAGCTCCTTTCCCACTAATCGCTTCGTCCGTCCACTCTCGTCGCGTACCTCCAGCTCCTTCTTCCCATCCATCGTATCAATAACCGCGTCTGCCAATCGCTTCCAACTAGCCAATCGTCGCTCGTCCTCTTCCGCCTTCCCTTCTGCCCCCTCCAATGCCGTGTGCACACTAGCTTGTTCCGACCGCACCCCCCTAAACGCCTCTTTCGCGTTCTCGAGGGTTACCAACTGTTTGCCCAACACCACCTCAAGACCCCACAGCCTGTTCCGGAGCAAATTCGCGACCCGCTCTTTGTTTCCAGAGCGAAGGTTGATATTTGTGCGTAGCGCTCTCTCAGCCACCTCTAGCTCTCGTTTTGTGCCCTCCTAAGGTAGACCCTCCAAATCAATCGTTACCGCCTCCCTCACCCCAGGGCCCTTCCTGTC